AGTATAAACAGAAAGAACCCCGCTTAAATTCCTATTCCTACACAAAACACAAGTCCTGCTGCAGTTAACAAATAACATTTATTATATAAGACCACGTAGCCAGCGTCACCATTGCGTACAACCCCAGAGGGCTGTCCCTAGTAGTTTTTCAAAAAAATCTTTCATCGATTTATCATTTAACGTAAAATATCACCTTAGAACAAAAAAAAAGATCACCTTAAAACAAAAAAAAAAAATATCACCTTCGACTAAAAAAAATCCGTAGATATCCGTAGATTTGAATAAGTCAACGGAATTGCACAGAAACAAATCTGGCATCTCTGGTTCGACCCGATAATCAGTTTGGAAAATACTTTTCAAGAGTGTGGACGCATGTAAAGGATGCTGAGCTACGCGGAGTGCAGTCGCAGCCACAGTGCCGGAATTCACGACACCCCGCTTGCTGTTTTTGTTCGTTCAGCGATTGGTTCGATTGCGATTAGATGCCAGACGATAGAAAGATGCGAAAGAGGTGAAAGTAGATGCCACAGATGGAAACAGATAGTGGACGGTAAATAAATATACAAAATATATGTGATATTTGCAATAAAATGAACTTTGACTATATGTTTTTTAGTATTACTTCTACGTGAAGTCAACCATTTACATAGTTGAAGATGCTAATTTCAAATAACAGACTGTAGTGGTAATTTTTATACGAGAGTTGGAGTAGATGAAAGCATAGAGTTGATAGTTCCGTTAGAGTACGGCAGTGTGATGATTGAATATAGATATTAGAAAAGCGAGTTAGGACAACTTTTAAGGAAGGTACAAATCGGTTTTTTCATCTCTCTTTACCAAACTCCCCCTTTCGGAGAGGGATGGTGAGGGGTGTCCCCCCCCCCCCGCCACCACTGGCAAAAACAGATGAAAACCGACCTGCTCAAGTACCAACTGTGTGTTTGAAACAGTTCTACCGATTTTTTACCGCACTTCAGTTGTTATTTGAAGGAAGGCATCCAGTTGTAGGTTTGGAAATTGCAACTATTGTTTACCCCTACCACGATATGTGCTCCTGTCATCGTCGACTTGACGATCTCGAGGGGACACGGGTGGGGTAGGTGCTGCTACTGTACCTTTCGACCAGCACCTACCCCACCCGTGTCCCCTCGAGATCGTCAAGTCGACGATGACAGGAGCACATATCGTGGTAGGGGTAAACAATAGTTGCAATTTCCAATATTGAAAGTACCTTCTTTTGATAAGGAAAACACAACTGACTGTTGCGTTATCATAAAATACAACCTTCATTCTCTTCTTTGCTTCAGATACCTAATTTAAAACTGAAAAAAACATTAGGGTAAACGATCCTATAGTTGCGGTACGTTAGAAGCGTTAGGTTCCTAAAGTTGTGTATGGAGACTCCGTACACAACTATAGGAACCTAACGCTTCTAACGTACCGCAACTATAGGAGCGTTTCCCCTAACGTATTTTTTTGGGAAATGTTTTATCTCACAACATTCACAGTGAAGAGGCATTTTTCATTTAATAATTTCCAAGAAAAACACTCCAGAAACATCGTCATATGTTCTTATTTTAATACTCATATCTGATTGCAATGTAAAATGTAAAAGACTGTGTGTTCGCCTTTTTGTGAGGTCTTGAATTTTGTAAGTTTTACTAAGTATGAAATCTAAAATATATACATAGGACTCATATAAAAGGTTACTTCTACTGTTTAAATTAATATCAAGAAAAATGCACGAAAAGTTCACTAACAGCTTAACGTAGTCTACGTCAACCTTGCGGTCGTGTCTTGTGCGACGTCAACATTGTAAATTTTTTTTTTCGAAAGTGCAAGTTTGATCAACAGACCTCAATTTATTCTAATTCACAGTTTAGTGGCTCCATACAAAAACCGGTCATAATGATTTTTTATGTCGTAACAAACTTACTTATTAAGTAATTAGATGCTCCGAAATCCACATGTTACGTTAAGGTATATAATATATTAAGGTGGTTTTAATTATTTTTATTAAGGATTTGTTTTAATATCCATAAACAGTTTAAGCGCTTTAGACCAAAACAAAATCGATACCCTTGGGTGGATCCTAAGCATAACCGAAAAATTGATCTTCATGAAAATAATTGATTTTCACATGGAAGCACAAACTTGATCCAAGTATGGTCCAGATATTTATAAAGGTCTTGAAAAACCTTATCATGCAGAACAAACCCACGCAATTTGGCGCATTTTAATTATTGATGTTGAAAAAGTTATTTAATAATATAATAGCTTAGGTAAACAAAGCTTATTAGGGATTTTATGTAACTTTATTGTATTAAATGTTAGTTTCTATCTTTAAGGAGCCTCAGATGTCATTAGAATTAACTGTTCATATGATTCGATTTTTTTTTCTTTATTTAGGAAATTTTCAGCCGTAAGCTGGTTCATCTCCGCGATTGAATTTCTTGGAAAAAATGTACAGTTTTTTTTTAACAAATTTTCATCTTTACCGCTATGTACAAAATTCACTTCTTGTCGGATTATCATGCAATAACGGGCTAAAATCTATCGGTAAATCTGAAAAACATATAATAAAAATAATAATCCAGGTAGGCAAACGCACACTTTTTGCCTGTAGATTTGAAGACATACTTCTCCGCGTACATCGTACGGGTTAGGCAAAAGGTGTGCGTTTGACTTTGTACTGTCGCATTAATGGCCCTTCGCTCATTTTCAACTTCAATTCAATTTTCATACAGCCGTACTCTAACGGAACTATCCACCTACCCTCTTCTAAGACCATTCTCTAGCTAATAAATTATCACACTAAAGCTTCATGTTAGATAGAATTTCCAACCAGCTCTGAAAATCCAGGCAGGCAGCCCACTGTGCAATGGGGTGGAAAACTTTAAATGTAGGGGGCAGTGAGACCGACCAAAAGTTTCATGGTGAATTTTAATGGATAATTTTGCGTTCGTCCGTTTTCGACCATCTTGCTCTTGTGACAACTGTAGAAGGGAAATAAGGGTCTCTATTCGATTGGATACATATATTGGTGCTTCGCGTCTGGGAGTAGGCGACCAAATTGAAATGTGTCGCAATTTGTCGACGATCGACGTCGATGGCGCCAATTATTACACGCTTTTCTTACTGATGGAATCGAATTTCACCCGGTCCCGATTCCTAGCGGCAACGGGTGCTGGTTGTACATGGCTTACCAAATGAGCTGCTAATTTGAATTCCAATCATTTTCCCTTTGTCAGCTGTTGTGTGACGATGATGCTTCAGCAGTACCATTGCGCCGAGTTCAAAAGCAAATGTAGATATGGATGCAGAGCCCACAAGCGAACAAACGATGGCACTGACGAAGTTGAATAGGACGTGACATTCGAAGTTGGAGAAGTTGGAGCTGGTTGCTTGTTAGTTTAGAAGAAAATCAATTATCTGAAACGAGTGCTGCGTATGAGTTGTGGAAATTGGATCGAATTGAAACGAAGCGCGTCTAAGGGGTCGGCGCCAATCTCCATCTCGAAAGGTCACACGCATTTATGCTTTTCAGAAGCTGATGGTGTTGATGTATGGGCTCTTTATTTTTTTCAAGAATCACAAATTAAATGGGCTTCTGTGCGTCAGATACCATCGTTCTTTTATTATTGCGGCCTAAATGTGCTGCGCGGGGGCTTTCAGACCTACTGGAGTTTAGTGGCTTTCTATTGTAGGACAAAAGGCACACAATTTGCATTGATTTCTACACACAATCGATGTTATTTCTGTGTAGAGTGCAGTAAAGGGGAAAATGCGGAAAATGATTAGACTATCGTGCGGCTCAAATGTAGGTGACAGCAATATTGCGTTTCTAAAAAAAAAAAATCGCCGCTCCATGAATCTACCACCAAGATTGCTTCCGTATCCTATGTGATTCCTCGTGACACATTTTGGTTATGAAATGTAGTCCGTCTCAATTTCCATCTCGCAACGACGAATTTGCATCTGATGGCATTTGCTTCATCCTTTACTACTGACATACGTAGAAATGTCCCATGTTCTATGCCATTCTTAGGACGCATACGACTGTTATACGTTATGTAGCCATGCGAAGAAGGATACGATATGACAAGAAATATCTAGTCCTATATTTGTAGTCACGGAAAATCGATTGAAAAGCATGTGAAAAATACGTCAAAAGACGATACTCGGTGGTGGAGAGAGTTTGAAGTTGGCAAGATTGGATCAAACCATGTGTCGTCACTAGCGAGTTGATTCGCTGGAAATTCCATAGAAATAGATCCGGTTTTGGGGGGCAATCGATTGCTACAATGCTGTAGCTAGCTACTTCTGTGTACATCACTTGGCACATTCGAGCTTCATAATGCAAAAATAATTTTCAATTTGCTTCCTTTCAACAACAACGGCTGACGATGATGATGATGATGATGGTATGGCATCCGGTGAAAACATTTCATGGAACACGTACAATCATACCCTATGAATGTGATCGAGTTGCCTTTTGCCGTTGTGGGAAACGTTGTCACTCATCGGTTATTAAATTCGATTGTCTTGAACTAACGTTTGAACGATGCATCCGATGGACATATGGCACGAATGGATTAATTGGCATTCTTTGTCGTGCTTCCGCCTGTCACACAACTAGAAGATGGATGACCATGGCACCGGATAATATCCGGTCAACAGTGACGTAGTAGTTCTGCTTTCTAGTGCTATGGAAAATAGGAAAACCTATGCTACATGTTGGCACATTCCAGAAGCGGACGTCATTCTTGTGTCGTTTTTTTTATTTTCATTGAACGGGAAGAGCGTCTTGAATTTACGTTTTTTTCCTCTTTGACAAATGACACTTTACGCTTTCCGCTGGTGTCAAGTGGATACTGTAACATCCCGTCACAACGTTCTTTGTGACACTCTAGACCTGGTGCAACAGTTTCAAAGCCATCACAATTACACCCGTACCGAAGAACGGAGATTAATTTTTCTTCTTTGCTTTTCCCTTGCAGATTACGCCCAACAATAGCAGAAGCGTACGTGGCGATTGGGCCACTTCTACGAAAGCACACTGAACCGACTGAACCGAAGGAGCTACCACGCCGCCGGACGCTTTCAACGGGCAACCAACGCACACAAACACACATACGTACATCCCATCTTCCATATCTTCGACTAGAAGACACCCGTCAACCAACACCATCATAGGTCCCACCGGGCAAAGATGAAGTTTTCAATTCCGCTCCCAGGTGGCGGCACTGGATTGACTCTCTTCTCGAAACTAGTCCGAACCAAGGACCTCCGCAAGCTTCAGGGTGAAGATCCGAAAAGTACAAAGCCAAAACTAACGGTAAGTCCTAGCTGTAGGCTATTGAGGTGCGCCCTGACGAGCCCCGGTCTTAAATTTCGTTAGCAAATTTGCTACCTTCGTAATTTAGGCATCATGGCGCAATAGCATACACGATATTTCAAAACTACCCTACTTTGAGTAGGATCCACCCATATCGGTCAAAAGAGAACCTAAGTTGGGATTGACAAGTTGACAAATGAACAACATCTCATTTGTCAACTTGTCGCTGCCAACTTAGGTTACCGATTTTTCAGTAGGTCAACTTGGTGGATAAGACTCAAATTTGGCTAGTTTTGGAATAGCGTGTAAACAGCTTTCCTTTGATTTCACAGAAATGTCTAACCACACTCGACCTAACCTCACTCGGAGTGGGATCGTGCTGTGGCACCGGTATGTATCTAGTCGCTGGTATGGTAGCGAGAAACATAGCTGGTCCCGGTGTAGTGCTTAGTTTTATCATAGCGGCAATAGCTAGTATATTTTCAGGTAAAGATAAAATTTAATTTTCTCTAATGCACTGATTGTTGTTAGTTTCCCTAGCTTTCCCGCATCTCGTTGTATCCCCCCTGCTGCCGAGCTGGGGTTTTCCGAGGAGATCCTACCTGGATGTACGAACACCGAACGGTGTGTTTCATTAATTGTTATGGGGTGGTTTGTTCTCAGGATGGATGGAACTGGATGTACTTATCATGTTTTGAAGTGATGTGATTAGTTTATTTTATGAACAATTTTGCTTGTTCATATTTTACCATGGACTTGCTAATTGAAGTTTTTATAATTAAATTTTGTTATAATTTCAAACAAATTGTGTGTTTTTTTCCTTGAAAGGAAAAACTTTATATTAGACACATTTCGATTGGACGACACGTTATCGTGCTATGATTTATTGAAATACAGTCAACTCTCCTTAATTCGATATCGACGAGACCATCGAGTTAAAGAGTTATGGACTTAAACAATATTTTTTACCATCCATAATTTAAGAATAATCCCGAATTATTACTTCTGAAATATCTGGCCCTTTTTATTCATATGAATTTGAAAAATGGTTCAAGAATCAATTAACGGACGTTTTGATTAGTAAATATTAGTAAATTCCTAATACTGTCAATTCCTGAAATGTAATTTGTCGCGTGGAAGATTCTAGTTGGATGGGTTTTGGTCATTTGGTTTGTTATTTATCGGTATTGCGATATATTTACTATTTCTTTTTTCGAGGAGCGACTATATGGGCCTCAAATGGGGGGTCTTTTGTGCCACACATAACCGTTCCTCGAAGAACTTTAGTTAATGTATCGCAGTACTGATTAATAAACCCCCTCCGTCACCCTTCCCAATTGAGCAAACTATATTCAAAGAATTTTGAAAACTTAGATAATCTCTAAATTAAATAAAGTTTTAAATTCAATACATTTTTGAAAAACAAGAAATCCATAAATTTTTAATTAGAATTAGAATCATAGAAACCCCTTATAGAAAAGTACAATAAAAATATCACAATACCATTCGAGTTATCGTTGGTTTATGGATTCCGATTATAGGTATCCCTTGATATAACGTAACTGCCACTTTTGACCGTCATCGTCGATATCTCTCAAATGAAAATTCAATCATACACACTTAGAAATACCTAATCTTACACGTGACGGAATCCATCTTTGAAATAAATGATAAGACGGAAACAAACATGTCATGTAGAATTAAGTGCTCCGAGACTGAAAAGTTCGAAAGTACGTTTGATTGAGCTGAATTTCGCGCCTATTATGACTCAATTGTATGTCAAAATAGACGCTCGTATATGTCAGCCTCAGAGCACCTAAATTTTCATCATTTTTCTAAGTGAGTATCAATCAACATTGCCAATAGATGGAGATTTGTCTCAACTTTCCGATGGAATCATTACTTTGCTTGATTGAATGATCGTTTTCGAGAAATCGGCGATGGAAGTCAAAAGTGACAGTTACATTATATCGAAGTATACCTGTATTAGAGATTTTTTCAATTTGGCGGTCCTGATCACAATCGGACTAAATTGGTCTTTATGGATCTTGAACTTTGAAATTGTTTTTAATATTCGAATGATCTTGGTTTTAAATTTTTCTTAAAGAATATGAAGTTTTGATATTTTTAGGTGTAGTCAAGATTAATATTTCATGTTTAAAGAATGTTAAAAGAGGTTTTTATGATTCATGCAAAAAGTAAAATGTTCAACATGTCGTATTTAAAAGGCCTCGACAATATGTTCAGTTACTTCAAATATTTTGTATTGGACTTTTGAATAAGAATAACTAATTCAATAGGGATTCTTGAAAAAATTCCTATGGAATTTCGGAGATCCATTTTTAAAAATCTTGGAAGGATTTAAAGAAAGTTCTGACTCGAATGTGAGTTTGGTGTGGTGTATGAATGAATTATTGTATTACCATTCATAATATTCGTGGTCGAACCCCTCGGTGATCTTTCAGATGGATGAACACTTTCATCGTCACGCGGCGGAGCAAGACATCAACAAGCAAGCACGGCACTTGTCCTCCGGGTTGCCAAAACAACAGATTAATCTTTATTTCTACAGATTTTCCAGGGTCCTTAAAACCAAGAATTTGTATTCACAGATCACAGATTTTTGTTTTTAAAGAGATTACACAGATTTTTTTTTAAATTATGATCAATCATTCCAAACACATCTTATATTTTCACTTTGGAGCAATTTTGTCAATGCCTACTCTTATATCTGCATTTTTTTTCTGCGGTATAAAAAAGGAGAATGAGAAATGTCAGAAGTTTTTGTTTGCTATGTCAATGGTAATTTATTATACAAAAATGGCTTCATCGATTTGCTCAAAACATTTTTAAATTAATCAATTCATAAACAGATATCATCACAGATTTTCAGGACAAAAAGTAAGATGAAAAGATTTTTTTAGAACAAAAACGCAGATTTGCTTTTGGCAACCCTGTGTCCTCTTTCCATCGTAGACAATCGTAGACAATTGGTGAGATCGTTTTATTATTAATATATTATCAAAAGTATACATCAAAGTGGTAAGATGAAATATATTGGATGAAATAAATTAGAAGTTGTAAGATGAAATAAATTTGATTGGAATTGGATTGGAGTATTCAGCTATTTGCATTAAAAATTACTGATAGATACAGACAGACAGGGATAGTGGAATTGCCAACTTCCTATCGTTAACATTTCGTGGATTGAGGGCGGGCTTTCTCACTCATTGGGACAACCTCTCGTACGATGTCTCTGCTTACGGGTCCGGCCCTCCGTATTTGGCCCTTCATACAATTGTAAATTGTATGCAGGCTAGTGAAAAAACTTGATCAAGTCATATTATGAGGACAGTCCACTGTCTAATGGATGTGTCCTGCAACAATGAGTGGTTTTCTTCACATACATACTACAATAAAGATTGCTGTTTTAGTTCTTCTGTCAGACCATAAAATTAACGTTTCTTACTTCCTGGAGTTGAGCATTAACATACTGAATTCGATCGCGCTATATCAAATTTGGAGAAGCGTCAAGCAAAAGTTGTATGACATAATCGACATATGTATATCGGATCTATTTGTTTTATTCCTTGTCGGGTATATTCATCACTGTAACCATTTTTTGATCTATTGTGATAATATATCGGAACTTTTGAAGTCAATTCTGTTTTCAATTTTATGACAGTATTTCCAGTTCCTTACAACTATTCTGTTCAAAATTAATTTTGAAATGATAGTTATAGCATGTAACCGTTTTCGAGGAAATTGTCCAGAATAGAAACTGTAAACTTCAGTGATCAGTATTTGCAACTCAGGCAAACACTTCGAAAGAACAATTGTGAGAACAGTGTCTTCAACAGAAAATCGGTATTTATCAACATGAAAAACAGAATTGTCCTCAATTATTTATTGCTATGGAGCTAAGCAATCGATTGGTCTGGCAACGCTGATCACATCTCTGGGAGCATCAGCAATATTTTTGGAAGTACAGTCAACTCGATATTTTCTATAACTCGGTGGATTCTGCGGTCCCTTCATTTTCCTATGTATCGTACTCTCCATTAGTCGATATTTCTACAAGTTGATGACTTCTTTGGTCCATGATCTATGTAGTGTTATTTTGATTCTATAACTCGATATGTCAAAGGTCGAGCTTCTGAGTTCTACAATGTCGATGTAAAAATCGAAGGATCTTTAAAAACATGATAACTGGTGATTATATTGAGTACATAGGATTATTTACTGTGTAAAATGGAGGGGCTACGCGGACGAAAAGGCACTCAAGCTTTCAAATTAACTAAAACACAGCGCGGATCAACTGAAACACTGTGTTTTTTTCCCCAATTAACGATAATGTGGATTGTGTGGTGTTGTGATCGATTTTCTGGCACATACCCTTGACGACGATGGCGATTACGACGACTGCAGTCCAACGAGCGCTCGCTGCGGTTCAGGAATGATCCTGTGGATGGCGGACGCTGAAAGGCCGATCTTGTCGGCAAGATAGCGGTACCACCGCTCGGTGAAATTCCGGTTCAATTCCGATAATGGCAAATGAAGCAAGACTGACCGAACGTCGGCTGTGGTGCGATGGCGATCTGGTTGTCACCTAGACCGTAGCGTGCAATGGCGATCCTTGACTCGCCAACCATAAAGAAATTTAATTGGTTGAAAAAGGTCCTGGATCAGCTGAATTGATGATTTACACTTCACCTTGATTCACTACTCGCACTTAGTGTTCTGTTAAAGTATACTCCACAGACACTTCTGGTCTACACGCTCGCCTGAGATAAAGTTCACGATGGTTGTTCTATAAGCATCACAGAACCCTTCAGCTCATCACCCGTGACTCCGTGTCACCATTTTGCTGCGTCCATCCACGCCTTATTCAGCAGTCGGCCGTTAAGCATGGCCGTATCGTCTGCCCAGTGGGTTTCACCGCAAGTGTTATACATATTTACTTGGTGCATATTTAAAATATTGTATTAGACCTTTGTAACAGAACGGTTTCAATACCAAACTCAATACCATGCTCAGGGCGGATGCTGATTTATTAGGCCGAAGGTCAGTAGGCCGAATGTTCATTAGACCGAACGGTCACTAAGCCAACCAGTCTTTAGGTTGAACGGTTACTGGGCCGAATGGTCATTAGGCCAAGTACTTGAAAATTATTTCTTAACCAGCAAATAATAGAAGGATAAATAAGGACTCAAATCGGTAATAGTTATTCCGTCTCATGTCAGGAAGAAGAAGAAGAAAAAGAAGAAGAAGAAGAAGAAGAAGAAAAAGAATAATCAAAAAAATTAATGCAGAAATTCAGGGTGTCTAATACCTGGAAATACCTGGAAAACCGGGAATCCTCAGGGAATTTTGTTTTTCCTGGAAAACCCTAGAATTCTCTTAGTGATTTCATCATGACTGAAGGTATTTTCCAACTCTCCCTCGTTTTTATCTTTCATTTATGGAACTTAATAGATCCTGAGCGG